AACTAATAATGGAAGTCCCCGATACTTTACATGGCTTTCAAGAGGAATGGTTGTGGGTCGGTGGAGATTGGCAGTGCCCCGACTTTGCTAATGACCTTCTTGCCGACGGGACGAGCATCCCAATGACCATTAAATCTGGTTATTGTAAGTTGTTTCCGTTTTCTTCACTTCGGTTATTAATACTTTGTTTTTTGTTGTCGCTAACAGGTGGACTTTTGTGACCTTGTAGCAAAACCAACCGGGAAGAGAGAGCCCAAGTTCGAAGGCCTACTATACGATCGAGTAGACAAACTGTTTGAAGTGTCTGTCAACAAACGACGATATCAACGACTTGTGAAAGATTCTCGTTTAGAGTTGGCTGGATTGTCCCCCGGAGTACTTGATTCTTCATTTTTACCAGGTAATCTTCTTCGCGTCTTCGTCTATCCCGCGACTTTATTTGTGTTATGAATATCGGTTTGACTTTGAATTTGCCGTAACAGTTTATTATCCACTGCTGGGATACTTCGGTATCGGAGACCCCGCAGAAGCAGAAAGAGCATCGGAGACGTAATCCGAACTTGGACTTAAAGAACAAAGTTGGGAAAAACAAAAATCTCCGATCAACCGAAATGGCAGGACGCATGAACCTTTTGAAATCATGGAAGAAGAATCCGAACCGTTCTCAGAGCGCTGTTGGTGAGCCATCATCTACGAGAGTGGAACCAACACCGGCGGTACCGACACCAGCGGTTGTCAATGAGGTGGCGGTTACCGAGGTCCCACCACTAGAAGTTGCCCCACTCCAACAAGTTATGACGTCGGTGGAGGAGCCTAGCGTGGAGACCGATATCACGCGGGAGGCGTCAGAAGAACCACTCCTTACCGTGGTGCAGCGACGTAAAAGATCTAGTGTGTCGCACGTTGCCGAAAGAATGAAGAAAAAACCAAACACTGGTTCTGGCAAGGAAAAGGAGGAAGAGCCTGAGATCATCTTGAGGGACTCGTTCCTTAAGATCAATGAGAAGAAAGCGGCGGAGCTGACGCTGCCGGAAGGGGTGTTCGACCCTTGGTTCGCGATGTTCCAAACAGTCGCCGAACCAAAGGTTACAATTAACCATCGGGTCCCGGCTGAAGCGGTGAAGGCAGCAAAGGTTCCTCTGATGTCGTGGGATCCTAAGACTCATGCCGGGATCGCGTCTCTGCCCGACGATCAGAAATTCAGTTACGCCCGAGGCTGTTTGGGGCGGGCACTTGTCAGCTTCATTGCAGCCGAGGAGAGTTATCGGGGCCGAGTTCATGAGCTCGATGAGAAACAGCACGAGCTAAGTCTGAAAGAAGGCGCCATAGCTTCTTTGGAGGACGAGAAGTCCCGTTATGAAGCACTGATGTCAGAAAAAGATGCGCAGTTGCAGGCAGCACAAACCGAAGTGGGCACACTTAAAACTGAGAGAGAGAATCTTCTGCTGGCCCATGACCTCTTGTCGGTTCAGTTGGCCAAAGTTACTGAGGTGGCCAAAGAAAAAGATGAGCAGCTCATAAAGTTGAGGATGGAGCTCCAGGCTGTGCGGAAAGATCGATCTGACAAGGATGCCGAGCTGATCCGAAATCGTGAGGCTCATGAGAGTGCTATGAGTAAACTCCGCCAAGAAATGATGGCTGCCGCAGAGCTTAAATTCCAAGAAGGCGTTGATGTCGGTAAGAAATCAGTGGTTGAATCCGACAATGTTTTGAATACCGACACTGTCACAAAATGGGATTTAGAGTTGAATGCCGCGTTGACATTACGCTGGGTAATCGACCGAGTGGAGAGCGGCGTCTACACTATGGACGAGCTGCGTATCTTCCTTCTCCATAAAATGGAAAAGCATGGTTTTAATCCAGAGATGAAGAATGCCCATATTCCAGCCGACCAGGACAAGAGAGACTTCGCTGACCGACTTCTAAAGCAGAAGGAAAGTCGGATGCTGGAGTTAGATATGGTGCCCTTGTCGGAGGAGCGGAAGGCAAAAATTAGGCGGTCATTTATCGACATGGTCCTTGAAGTGGAGAAGGCCAAGAAGCCTGAAATGGCCAATATATGCGTAGAGACGATTGCTGAGGCCTTCGTCACGGAAACATTTGAGGGCCTGTCCGATGAGGAGCTCTTGGGCGCAATTATCGGTTATGCAGCGGGCAAAGTGGCGGAAGATGATGCTAAAGCCAAAGGTTGGGTGGTTGACCCCGTCCCTTCTGACGATGATCGTGTTTTGCATGAAGACGACGACGTCGTCATAATTAAAGAAAGTGATGTCGTCCGAGCATTGGAAGAGAAGGAAGAAGACGTCGTTCAGCGCTTGAGCCAAAGGTTGATTGAGCACTTGGATGCTGTTGACAAGGACAAGACTGAGACCGAGAATTCTCAACTTTCTAATGTAGGAGGGGCGTCATCGTCAGGGACTAAAGAAAATTGATGTTTTTAATTTGTTTTATCGTTTGTTTGTCTCTTTCTGGGAATGTGCTGAAAGCATTTGATTTTATAATGTAATATTAATGTTTGATGAATGAAATATTTTTTGTGAATGCTTGATTATGACTTATTATTGCAACAAGTCAGAGTACGTCGGAAAAAGTGAACAAGTTTTCACCAGACTAAAATTTCCGACATAACATTAGTGATAATTTATATGAATTACTGACATCGGTGTAATCTTACAATATTCCCGACATCAATAATCTTGTCAGAACAAGTTACAATAAACTTGCTTTTTATTGGAAATATTTATCACGTAAGTCCTTGATCGTCTCAAAGAACTTAAGAATTTTATTGTTAGTTGATCAAATCAATGTCAGGATTGGACATCAAATTTTTGATTAAATTTTTGGGTGTCGGCATAATTTATAGTTTATCCGACGTCCGCAAACCCTTTATTCGAACAAGTCATAAAAGACTTGCTTTTTACTGAAAATACTTATTGCGAGCTCATCAAATCAACGTTAGGATTTGATATTAGAGAGCTTAAGCCTCCCCAAACCATCTTCAGGGCTTGGAAGTATCCGGCTTTGCTGCGTTTGGCTAGGTCATACCATCTTCAGGGTATGAAACACGTTTAGCCTTAGCAACGAGGACCGATTTATTGTGGTCCGAGTGATCGAACAATTTACAGGGGTTCGTCACACAAACTTTATTGATAGCGAAACATGGTTCTTGTACAGAAGTAAGACAAAAGCTTTTTTACATGTCAGGGACAGAACCTTGGCCATAAAGTTTACTGGTAGTATTTCTTCAGATATGTCGTGTGCCAGGGGTATTGAAGAGGAACACCGTCTAACGTCTCAAGTCGGTAGGTGCCATTAGAGATCAGACGATTTACTTTAAAGGGTCCTTCCCACTTTGGTTGTAACGGGCCGACATTGGCGCCAGTGACTCTTTTCAAAACAAGGTCTCCTTTGATAAATGAGCGTGGGTTGAGCCCTGAGTTTATGTATTTTTCACTACGTCGTTTATAAGCAGCATTGCGGACTTCGGCGTCAGCCCGTAATTCATCAACTAAATCGAGACTGGCTTTCAAATTTGCTGGATTGGTTTCTTCGGAGAAGTGAGTGATCCGATATGTTGGAAAGGCAAGTTCAACCGGTATCACGGCTTCAGTTCTGTAAGTTAACGAAAACGGAGTTTCTCCAGTTGAATTCTTCGCCGTCGTCCAATAAGACCAGAGGACATAAGGCAATTCATCAGGCCATGATCCTTTTGCAGCTTCAAGTCGAGTTTTCAGGCCATTCTTGATAATCTTGTTCACGGCTTCTATCTGTCCATTAGCTTGTGGGTGGTAAGGTGACGAGAAGAAATGCTTGATGCCATAATCTTCACAAAAACTTTCAAAACGTTTGCCTTCAAACTGACGACCGTTGTCGGTTATAATGGAGTTCGGAATTCCAAACCGACAAACGATTGATTTCCATACAAAATCCACCATTTTTTGCTCCGTAATGGTTACAAGGGGCTCAGCTTCAACCCACTTGGTGAAATAATCGGCGGCTAAAATGGCAAACCGAACTCCCCCTTTTGCTGTTGGAAGTGGGCCGATCAAATAAATTCCCCATTTTGCAAACGGCCATGGGCTATATATCGACTTAAGGAGTTCAGGACGTTGGTTAACGTTAGGAGCAAATATCTGACACTTGTGGCATCGTCGCACCCAATCCGTAGCATCTTTCCTAATAGTAGGCCAGTAGTAGCCTTGTCGGAGAATTTTGTGAGACAAAGTTTGAGCTCCCTGATAAGTACCGCAGACTCCTTCGTGTACTTCTTGCAGGATTCGTTGAGCGTCATCCTCTGACAAACATTTGAGCAATGGGCTTGAATACCCACGTTTATATAACGTCCCTTGATCAATGGTGTAACGAGCAGCACGAACACGAAGGGCACGAGCTCCTTTCGGGTCTTCAGGTAAGGCCCCGGTTTGAAGATAATTAATGATCGGATCCATCCACGTAGGATTTGAAGTTAATGGGACAGCGTCAACCATAACAACATCGGTAGAGACTGTCGACGAGGTCGCCTGTTGGGTGACTTGCACGAACTCAACATTATCCAAGTCGGTTGATGAGGCTAATCGTGAAAGAGCATCTGCTTGAATATTGGATGACCGAGGTACATGCTCCAACGTCATTTTAAATCGGGTCAGCTTCTTTTTGACGAGATCAAAATAAGGCAATAACCGTGGTTCCTTGACTTCGTAAGTACCATTGATATGGCTGACTAGCAACTGAGAGTCGGAAAATATCCGGAGAGAGGAAACATTCATGGATTCGGCAAAGTGTAATCCTGATAAGAGGGCCTCGTATTCGGCTTCGTTATTGGTGGCCGGGAAGGTAAATGCCACAGAGTAACAAAACATTTGTTGATCAGGACTAACTAAGACAATCCCTCCCCCGGCTCATATAGCAGTGGACGATCCGTCAATATAGAGAGTCTATGTCGGATCTTCAATGGGCGTGTCGACAGTAGGAGTAAATTCAGCGATAAAATCAGATAGTACTTGAGCTTTGATAGCGGTTCGTGGTCGGTACTGAATATCGAACTGTCCCAACTCAATTGCCCATTTAATCATTCTTCCCGACGTGTCAGGTCGGTGAAGGACTTGTTGGAGAGGATATGTCGTGAACACAACAATTGAATGCTCCAAAAAATATGGGCGCAACTTTCGTGCAGCAATGATCAGAGCATAGGCCAACTTCTCCATATGCGGATACCGCAATTCAGCGTCGTGTAAAGCCTTGCTAACATAATACACCGGAAACTGTTGAAATCCATCTTGTCGTATGAGAACAGCACTAACAGCAACGTCACTTACACCAAGATACAAATACAAAGGCTCATCGGGAAGTGGTTTCTGCAACGTCGGTAATCGTAAAAGAACTTCTTTAATGTTGTCAAAAGCGTTCTGGCATTCCGTGGTCCATTCAAATGGTTTATTCTTTTTGATAGCGTCAAAGAACGGTTTACAATGATCCGTAGATTTTGAGATGAACCGATTAAGGGCTGCCAGTCGACCAGTTAACGCTTGGACACCTTTGAGAGATGTCGGGGGAGCTAGGTCAAGTATGGCTTTAATCTTGGCGGGATTGGCTTCGATCCCTCTCTGACTCACCATGTATCCTAGAAACTTTCCTGATCCAACTCCGAAAGTACACTTCTTGGGGTTAAGCACCATGGAATATTCTCGGAGTATATCGAAGACTTCGGAGAGATGGGCGATATGGTCAGAGGCCTGTTCCGACTTCACTAACATGTCGTCTACATAAACTTCCATTGTATGGCCGATTAAGCGAGCAAACATCTTATTGACCAATCTCTGATATGTGGCCCCTGCATTCTTCAATCCAAAAGTCATCATAACATAACAATAAAGGCCTCGAGCTGAATAGAACGAGGTATGTTCGGCGTCATCAGGATGCATGGGAATCTGATTGTAGCCTGAATAGGCATCCAAAAAACTCATAAGTTGATGTCCTGACGTAGCGTCTACCATGTAATCAATGTGTGGAATGGGGTAACTATCTTTCGGGCACGCTTGATTCAAGTCTGAAAAATCTATACAGAGACGCCAAAGGCCGGTGGCTTTCTTAACCAAGACAGGATTCGATATCCACGTCGGGTACTTGGCTTCTTTGACAAATTTATTGTCTATGAGCTTGTTTACTTCCTCTTCAAGGGCCTTCTGACGGTCTGGGCCGAATTTCCGGCGTTTCTGAATAACGGGTTTGACAGTTTTGTCCAAATTTAGACGATGGCATGCTTTTTGTGGGTCAATTCCTTTCATATCTTCATGCTTCCAGGCGAACACATTGGAGTTCGACTGGAGAAACTGAATTAGATTTGATCGAATGGGTTCTTGCAGGTTGGCCCCAATGCGCAGCGATTTCTGCTGAGCCGATCCGTCCACGTAAATGGTTTCAATATCTTCAACTGGTTCCGCCCGGACATGATGACCTCCATCCTTGAACTGCATCCGTGGATCCATATCTTCATGCATTTCTGCATCTTTCTCACGAAAAGGTGATTCTTGATTGAGGACTTCAGTTAATGTTTCAGGCAAAACCGACATCATAGGGATGTCGGTATCAGTAAACGGCATGTCGGTATCTTCTTGAGACACGTCAGTACTTGGAATAAATTGATTAATTCTTTCAGCATCAAAAATTGAATCACTCGGCTCAACGGAGTTATTAGCAACTTGTTCTTCAATCATATGAAAGCTACGCGAGGTTGACAGCAACATCAGACTTCGGGCTTCTCGTTGATCTCCGTAATGAGTGCCTTCTCCTTCAATGGTGGGGAACTTCAGGGCATAATGAAAAATTGACACAGCAGCACGAATTTTATAAAGTGCGGTTCGTCCTATTACAGCATTATATTCGTTCTGGACATCCAAGACTTTGAAGGTTTCCATAATGATCTTGGATTTCGGTTCAAAGCCACCAAACCGAATAGGGAGTAATATTTCGCCAACAGGACAAGAAATGCTCCCATTAAAACCTTGAATTTGGTCGTTGCAAGGCCTAATGTCTGCCGGGTCTAAACCCAATTTTTTGAAAGTGCGGAGCATTAAAATACTCGAATAAGCTCCCGTGTCGACCAAAATCCGATGAACAGGAATCCCTCCAATCGGGGCTGTTATGATAAGAGCATCGGAATGAGGATGAGCGAATAAATTAGCGTCTTCGATACTGAACGTGATAGGACAATTCCGTTTGTTAATGGTATCTCGAAGATCAACATTCATGACTCTTTTCTCGGCATTCTGTGCCTCCCGGGCATAGGCTTTGATTTTCCGTCGAGACGTATCTAACTGTTTGTTATTGGAGTTGACTCGAGATATACAATGTGAAGAATCTATGGGATCACGTATTTTAGGTTTCCTGCAGTTATCAGTCGAGGTTCCGACATGGGTAGAAAACGTAAAAACCTCTTTATCATTTGCACGAGCTCTTTTCTGGTTAGCAGGTCGGTTATCTTCATCTTCATCGTCTGAAAGATCCAAGGGCCTTCATTTCCGGCGGTTATCAAAATTTCGAAACTTTTGAAGCTGGGGTTTTCCGTTTAAGCGTAAGAGTGCCGACAAAAGACTGAGACATTCATTGGTATTATGTCCTGGAGACTTATGGTACGCACAGTACCGAGTTTTGTCCAACTTGTCTTCAAGAGTTCTCACAGGCCTCGGGTCTGGGATAATTCCCTTTCCTTTCAGTTCTTCATATATGGTGGCTGCTCCGGCGGAATAAACGGCATGATAACCTGTCCTGACGTTGTCTGAATACTGATCACGAGTAGCCCGAGACTCTGGAGTATTTTCATATCCTTTAGAGGAGTTCCGAAACTGTGGTTTCCCAAAGTTCTTCTTGTTCTTATTTTTAGCATCCGGTTCAGCCTTGCTCTCCTTCACCGAGAAGTCGAAACTGGGAATCGACATGGATTCTTCAGCAATAATGAACTGTTGAGCTCGCACAAGAAACTCTTGAAATGTAGCAGGCTTATTTTGACACAAGGTCCAACGAAACATTGAGTTGGGCTTCAGTCCAGCAATAGCAGTTACTAACAAAGTTTCAGGATGACAGGGCTACATGTTCTGAATTCGGTCGTTGAACCGAGCCACGTAGTCTTTAACAGTCTCGTCGTCCTTTTGCACAATGTTGGTAATCGATTCTTTCGGAATGAGACAAATTTGAGCACCGATAAAGTGTGATCGGAAAGCTGCACGTAACTGTTGCCATTTCCAAATCGAATGAGGTGGGAGAGTATAATACCATTTTTGGGCTCGTGGCCCCAGTGTAAGTGAAAACATCCGACACCTCAGAGCATCTGAAGCCCCATGTAAATCCATCCAGGACGTATAATGGCCCAAATGTGCATCTGGATCTGATGTCCCATCATACATGCCGATTTGTGGGATTTTCACTTTTACAGGGAGTGCCTCCGCAGTAAGTTCGGGGGCTAAAGGAGAATCCGCCTCGACAATAACATTTCCCGACATCGTGACATGTCGGGGTGAATCTTCTTGTGACTTCTGTCGCGTCTCAAGTTCAGCCAAACGTTTACGAAGGGTTTCAATTTCCTCTGCACTATGTCTTGAAAGTCGATTCCGCTCAATTTGACGCCGTAAATCTTCGCGAGCGTGAGGTGCTGACGAAATGGGTCTAGGACGTGGCGAAACTCTCTGGTGATGAGCAGAATGACTTTCAGCAGTCATCTCCTGCACAGGAGGTTGATCCGGGACTTGATTGTTCACCACGGGATTAGCAGTTACATGTGTCCGCTCTTCTCGACGTGGAGAAGTATGATGAGGTTGCGACGTAGAATGTGATGTCGCTACATGTGTTTCATGGTCATGATGAGTGTGGGTTGGATGTTCTGTTGGGTTAGTAGTTAACGGCATCGATAACGGTATCGTATTCGAGTTCCTGGGCATGGCTCGAGCTATTAGTGAAGTCAAACCTTGAATAAACTCCGGATTTTGAAGAAAGTTCGTAACATTCGTGACCGGAGGAGGTGGTGTTGCACACCGTGGGGAATGGTTAGTCGATTGGCTCTGGCCAGGGTGAGTCACGTGGTCTCGACCAGACTGCGACATGATGGTTTCGAGCGTGAAAATGACTTAAAGGCGAAAGTTAACTTAAAAACATAAACGCGCCCTCCTTCTAGCGCCAAACTGTTGTCAAATGAGAATTAACAATGATATAATCGATGTAGATTTGAAGTAAACTTAGTATAAATCAGCAGAAACTTGTGTATTTTAAAGAAAGATGGAATTTTTCTATGAATATTATCATTGTACGTGTGTCTCTCTCTCTGGAGAATTGTTTTTCTCCTTTTATATTTATGTACAACATTTATCTGGATAGTAATCATTACATTTGAAAGGTTAAAGGCGGCTTCTAGCCACTTCTCTTGATAGCTCGCCACTTGGACAAACGTAATGATGATTTATGCTGAGTTGTCGCCGCCTTACAGTGCTGAGATGGCACATTATAGATATCGGTTCATCCAGTTATAACCGATATGTTGTATCCGACATGTAGTGACCGACATGTGATGACCGACATGAGATATCGGTTAAGTAATGGAGATGTCGGTTCTTGTTGAATCTCTCATCATGCAGTCGTCTTGAAGTCAGTTGAAGTGTCACGTACTTGTACAAATTTTAATTATCCCCATACTGACCTTAATCATCTTAATCAACGTTGCTTAACTTGGTTCATTGAAAATGATATCAACAATGATTTCTGGAGAAGTCTTGAAAAATCCGAAAGGGGTCCCGGAAAGTAAAATGTGTGCCGGAGAAACAGAGAATGCTGCGCTTGCTGGAGAAAGAAGGAATTCGAGAAATGAGAATGCGAAAAGTGGGAGAAGAAGGAAGAAACAGAAATTTATAAGAAAAGTAAAGGAATCCTAGCCCTTAGATTAAAGGTAAATCGGACGGATGAGATAATGCACGGAATACGAAGCGGTGGAGAGAGAGAAACGTCT